ATGATGGGGGGGCTGCTCATTTTGGACTGCATGTTCGTAGCCATTTGAACAGATCATTCTCGCATCGATGGATTGGGCGTGGTGGATAAGATCCCTGGTCCCTCACGCTCACCGAATTTATCAAGCCTTGATTTCTTTTTGTGGGAAACCATCAAAAGTGCCATGTATCACGATCCTGTTGTGTCTGAAATAGATCTGGTGGCATGACTCGCCTGCGCAGCTGCTACAATCAAAGAAACTCCCGGTGTGTTTGAACATGTTCGGCAATAAATGGTCTGTTGGTGTCAGGCATATCTGGAGTCTGATGGTGCAAACTTCGAGCGTCTATTATAACATTCAAGCTGTCGTACACCATTTGTATTGATGTCCAGTAAATGTTTCAAATTAATCACTCTTGTTTCTTCTACCTCTTTTACCATCTTCTACCTATCTGCTACCACTTAACACTGACAATTCCGGACATGGGTTCCTATACAATTCTTAATCCTTATAATGTGTCCTACCTGCCCTAGAAGTTTGTCGCAACATTTATGGTACACCTTGTATATATATTGGTATAAAGAAAGTGTCATAGATAATCAGAAATTCTACACTTTCCAATGTCCGCATTTAAATCCTTTTTTTTTATTAAAAAGAATCATGTATTTAAATCATTGATTTAACTTTTAATTTCAGCTTTAATAAAGAAAAAATTCAAATTAAATAAAAGACTGAGCATTTTCAGAAAAATTAATAATTAAAGGCTTAATTAAGTAGAAAATATTTTCAAGCTTACTTAATTAAAGTGACAGTTACAATATACATATACTCCTGACTAATATTTGAATTTATGTAGGGCTGTCAATAGTATAAATACTCTGCGGCATAAAAATTTCATTATTATACTATAACTGCCTAATAGAAATAACTTACTCACCGTACTGAAGTAATCAGTTATGATTGGTTGATTATTAGAAGAGCTAGAGCGTACTGTATCGGAATTTGGAAGCACCGAATTGTGGATCAGACAAGACAGTAATTATTGATTATTTAGGATACTCACTTTCTTCATTTAGCATCGAACCTTGAACCCTTTGATTTGTAAGCACAAAACTCGTAAAAAATAAGAGCTCTTTTGTTCTAGTCATTAGACCAAAAGCTTAGTGCAGATATGTAATCTGTCGTGAAAAAGAGGCCTAAATATATATGCTCAAATGGAAAATAATCTCCTTGAGACAAAAGTAAAAGGCAGTAATTGGGGGATGGGCCTAAGCCACAACATTATTTTGGAAGCTTTCAACGCTCACTTTCCTTGCTTTCAGAAAGAAAACTGAATTTTTTAAAGACTTAGGTTTCAGACCCTAAAACTTGGTATTTTAGTTCTAGGCCTTGTCAGCTTAGGCGGTAATTAGGGCCTGGCAATTAGTGGACTGCAAAGTTTTTTTAACTTTATTTCTAAAACATAGCTTTTATAATTAAGACACAATAACACGCCGAATAAATACTAATTCAGAAGTCAAACAAAAAAAAATCGGATATTTGCAAAATTTTCACAGGACTAGTTCGATGGTTTTACCGAACCACCATCTTCAGCTGAAAACCGCAATGAACAAGTGATCCATTTGCGGTTTTGCAGCTGAAGATGGTGGTTCGGTAAAACCATCGAAACTAGTCCTGTGAAAATTTTGCAAATATTACGCTGATTTTTGTTGTTTGACTTCTGAAATAGCTTTTATACATTAGACTTAGTTATTTACCGCAAAACGTTTTGAAAGATTTCATATCCTATATCATTAAAGACAATTCTGGACTGAGGCCCAGGTCAAACACTTTTTCATCATTGAATCAAGAAGTTGATGCATTGGAGCAAGAAAAAAAAGCTGAAAAAGAAAAGTCTTCGAAGTAAATATGGAGCCTGATACTCGAAATCAAATTCAAAGAAATGAAAGTATATCACAGAAAACATTAAATTGCCAGATTGAAATTTTGGGTTCTGAACCGTACGGTTGATGGGAAATCATAAATATACCTAAGAATGACAGTTTCAGATTGATATAATTTCCAATCGATTATAGTTTAGTTATGACGGAATGATCATAACAAAAGAATGAATAATTCTTTCGTTGTGAGCATGTTATAAATGTACAAATAGTAAAAAGACTGCCCAATGTGTCGTCTAGAAAAAATTATAATAGTTGTCAAAACAGAACTGAACCATAATGCGAAAAGAATCAAATTTATTATCAAGATAGCCAACTTTGTAAAATGCATATATGAGTCACATTTCTGAACAGAAATATTGCTGTATCTGAAACTCTGGCTTCGAAACCCGTATTATGTCCTCCTTCCTGTCCAAAGACTGGCTTCCCTTTCACACACAGCTTAAATTGCGCCACAGCAAGGCTCCGATACTTCTTAGTTTTGGGGATAAATCATAATTCTAGTCGCAGCGCAACTAAGCCCTAAATCAGAAGGCTCCGGCCCATCGTTTGTGCAACTGAACAACAATTTCAGAAGAAAATTTGATCTCGAAGATTTTTTTTTTTGCAATAAAATTATATTACAAATCGTTTATTAAATTTTAATTTATCTTTAAATTTAATTACTTTAATCGTTAATAGTCAACTATTTTGATAATTAATTCATTAGTAATTTCATTTAATTAAATAATAATCATTAATTAAGCATAATGGACTAATATAAGCAATAATTAATTTCGTAAGCATTAATTAATTATTTTTAATAATAATTATTTTAATAGTCATTTTATTTATTTATTTACTTTTGTTCTTCTTTACTGACGGTTTTCCATAGGGCTCCGGCACCTCTAATTTTAGAAATTAAGCCCTGCTGATTAAACTGACATCACTGTGTTTATGACTTGTGCCCTCTCCGAGCAACCCTTCTGTTACCATCACACCGTGATATAGTTACATATGTGCAAGTTTTTCTAATTAGTTTATTGATGGTTAAAATGACATCGACTTCTAATTTTTATTCTTTTTTGTGACTTTTGTGACCTCAAATATCAACCCAATGGCTAAGAACTCCTGACTTCAGGTCGGAATGCTTACGTTTTGTGTGATATGCTTTCGTTAAAGACTTCGTTTCGACTTCGGTCCTTTCCTTGTAAGGTCAAAACATGCAAGAATCTTCTATAAGAATATTTGTGTCTATCGCTGAACTTTTTATCATATAACTTTCTAATTCTTGTTAATTTTTAAAACACCCTTGTAGAGTGAGCATAGTTCTTTACGATGCTCGAAAACACTGAAACATTTTAGTTTTTATTATTTTAATTGTGTAATTAAAATCGCTACTACTTGAAATGTTTCCTTCATTGCTGTTTCTATACTCGCTTTTTTTTTTGGTTTTATGCAGCGAGATATAATCAGGAAAACAGTTAACAAAATTACGCAATTAGAATGAAGAATGGAGAATTAGAGAAGATAGAATGAAGGATTATAGACGTCATCGACTAAATACAGTAAAATCCCTCTCAACAGCACTCATTTAGCGAGAAATGTCAAAATAACGGCACTTTTGAAAGTCTTGATTTAAATTCAAAATTTAAGCTTATGAGAAAAGAAGCATATGATGGGATAGCAACCTGAAGACTAAAAATGTTGAAAACATTTGTGTTATGTTTCTACCCCCAACATATCAAGCAGTATCTAATTAATGAATTAACGAGTTATCCAGAATTTAAAGATAAAATAGCGATCCTTTTTTAAGTGTTCGTGACGGAACTTTGAAAGTAGTGTCCACAGTTTCCAGAAACAATTGACACCGAAGAACGCCATTTTTACTTTTCTCTTCCATGAAAAGGTATAAAAAAACATTACTTTATGTCACTGTTGGTGTAAATTGTGGCCTAGTATCGTGTTCGTAGATGATGAATCACATGACAAAGATTCTGTTGGTTTTAAAACACGTCTGGCACTCATGTCAGGCATCTTAGATTTATTTTACATATTCGGAGAACATAAGTGGTAGTGAAAAGTTGACGCAAGCTTAGATAGGTGTAGATAGTTCTTTTCCCGTCGAACGCTCTAGATGTGGAGGAAATAATCGGACATTCACTCGGAAAGAAGGAAGGTGGTGATGGGAAGAGAGATGGAAATGAAGAAGATACACAGAGCAAATGTTTCGTAGACGAAGAGTTGCAGCCTTTCAAAATTTCCCCGAGAAATATTCGTCTATGTTCTTATATGATGTTATAAAACTTCATAATATACATAGCGAATTTTTAAAAATACGGCGATAGTTTCGTAAGCGGTCATTCGAAGTTATATATCATCATAATAAGAAATTCGTAATTTTCTATTATTAATTTTAATTGTGCTTAATAGATCAAAACACTCCGAAGGACTTCGTATGCGGCACTTTCTACGATGGGTATCACAAAACATGAGCAAGTAAGCTCTCGAAATATATATTCTATTATCCGGAATCGGATCCGGAATCGCTGTTGTCGATTAAAAAGGATTCTATTGTAATCTGTCACTAGGTGTATATTCTATTATCCGGAAAACCTCTTATCTGGAATCGGCGTGGTTCCGCTGTTGTGGATTAAAAGGGATTCTACTGTAGCATGGCACTAGGTATATTATTTCCAGGTCTTGTTTTTTAAAAAACGTCTGCAACATTATTAAAAGTTATAATGTATTTTTATGCCCCATGAAAAATTCTGGTGATTATTTTGAAAAGGTTGAAAGAAAAGAAAAAACTTGAAAACTTTCTAGTTTCAATTGCATGCTTGTTTGCTTACTCTGATTATATATAATTCAAGTTTTACCGAGCTGATACTGAAGGACATTAGATCGACAAATTTCGTCAAGAAAATTAGACTTCAATAATGATGATAATTCTGGCCATGACCTTGAGAAGCGATGAAGCATTCCACCATTTCAGAAAAATTTTTCCTCCTAAAGTCACGACATTGATAATTAGTTAGCATAATATTTTTTTTTCCTCCGCCCCCCTCCAAATTACACTTGAATACTATATTTACAGCTTACCTCGTAAATCAGTTCTAGTGACTGGCAGATCTTCGGCAAAACCACATCAGGATGAGTCGAGTTTGTGAAACGTTCAGCGCAGTTTTCTCCGTTCGTTTTAATCTGTATTTCGTAAATAAAATATCTTTATTAAATATATGTACATATTTGTAAGAAAGGAATAAAATAACTAATAGTGACGGGGGAATCAGAAAACTTCAGATTATAGTCTTGGAAAAACGTTTAAACCGGGAATAAACGTTTAAAATAAAATATTTTTAAAAGTTAAAAATTTACGAAAATTTTTAAAATGTAAACAGTTGTGAAACTATTTTATTACTCATTTAAATAAAAATAATGCTTAATGTTATCAGCTTTGAAAACTGTAGCTTTTTGGTTGAAAAAAATTAAATCTCATCTCAAAAATAATTTTAATTTTCAAAGTTCAATTCTGAGTTTCTGCATTTCAAAACTATGCATTTGAATATTTAGACCAATACTTTAAAAATGACAGATTCTAATTTAAACTGAAATAAGTAACAGAAAAATAAATAAATAAATAAATAAATTTGAAAGCTTTCACATTTTATATTATTACTCCCAAAGGAACGTTTTCTTAACGTTTTGTGAGTTACTTTTATTTATTAAATATCGTGTTCTTCGCACTATACCACATAAAATTCAATTCAACAGCAATATCACAAAATATTTAAAAAACATATTTTAGAATTTGTGATAGACGTCTCACGGGCTGAATAAAATGTTCCCCCCCGACGTTTTCATTCAAATCGTAAAAACATTTGGATTTGATGCGGAAAGTCATTCGAAAACCACTAAATCGATTTCTCAGAAAGGTCCTATCAGCCTGCATATCAGAGGAAATCTCAAAAATTAAAGCTGCTGCAGTTTACACATCAAAGCAAGAAGAATAGTTAGCTTACTACCTAGTTTTTTTTTAAGTTAATTTAAACTTCCCTTTCTGTACATGAATCCATCAAGTACTACCGCCGCCCCTTCAATTCCCCAATCTCAACTGTTTACGACAATTTTACACAATAATTCGCCTCCACAGGACAAGCTTAGAATCCTTCAAATAAACTTAGGCAGAGGAAAAAAGGCGTCAGAACAACTTAGTGAAGTAATTGAAAATAACAATCATGATGTAATTTGCATTACTGAGCCGTATTGCGTAAAAGGTGAAGTTAGATGCCTTCCCCTTCACTGGCAAATATTTCAATCTACCTGAAAAGGATCCTCTAGTTAACCCACGTGCCAGTATTATAGTCACCAATACCAAATGGTCCCCTACAATTATATTAAGCCATAGAGATGTGATGACGATAAGTATTAACTGTAAATCAGAACAGCTATTAATTACTTCCATTTACTGCTCACCACGAGAGGATATGGGGCCGAATCTCCACACATTAGAAAATATCTTTAGTAATCTCAGAAGATCACAGCACGTGATTACAGGTGACTTCAATGCTCACCATCAAATGTGGCATTACAATAATACAGATAATAGAGGACATACACTAGCTGACTTTATTGCTACACACAATCTGTATATACATAACCTCTCTTCAGACACTCCTACATTTGAAACAACAAATGGTAAAGGATGGCCGGACTTGACACTGTCAACATTGAGTATCTCCAATAAAATACAAGAATGGAAAGTTCTTGATGATCCAAGCCACTCAGATCATAACTACATCTCATTTGAATTATCAGAAGAAATCCCCGACCTCAAATTAAGAAGATTTTCAATCTCAAAGCAAAAAGCAAGGCAATTTGGAAGAAAAATCTCCACATGTCTTCAGTATGCGGAGAAACTTATAGATAAATGCACATCACCCGATGCAGTCCATGATTTAATGGAAACAATTATCAAAACAATACAGGAGACAGCGACCAACACATTTAAACTCCGTAACAACAACAAGATTACGAAGACTAACTGGTGGACAAAGGAATTAAGACGTGAAAAGCAACATACAAGGGCCCTTCGTAGAAAAATGAAAAGTGCTCCGGAAGGGTTGAAAATGGAAATATGGATAAAATACAAGCAACAATTAGCAAATTACAAAAAGAAAATAACTGAAGCAAAATTACGCAGCTGGAAGAATTACTGCTGTAGTAATAAAGATACATACGGCCAGCTGTATAAAATGGCTACAAGTAAAGTTTTTAGTCCCGCACATATCGGTCTTTCGAGAGATCAACTCTCACGTAACAGCCAGCTTGGTAATGTCACTGAAAAGATTCTCAACAATATTCTAGATGTTGTCTTCCTAAAAGATAATGCAGAAGACGATGGCCACTCACATTCCGATATTAGATACAATAATACCGCTCCAAATACTCCAGACGATGTGGAATTCCACTCACAAGAAATTTCAAAAATTATTAAGTATCTTCCGAATAATAAAGCTCCGGGACCTGACGGATTAGACAACAGGATTATTAAGATAATTCACCACGCAATGCCTTTTCTGTTCCACAAACTACTAAACCTCTGCCTCAAATTTTATGTCTTCCCGAATTGTCTCAAACAGGGACAAACAATACTATTCAAGAAAAATAATAAAGATCCTACGGATCCGGAAGCCTTCAGACCAATCAACCTCTTACCTGCAATAGGTAAACTTCTGGAACGTGCAATCGCGGGCAGATTACGCCACCACTTAGAGAAAAACGAAACCATAAGCCCCAACCAATACGGCTTCAGACCTCTCAAATCTACATCACATGCGATAGTAGAACTTCAAGAGCAGATCCGTAGGAATAAATCTTCAGCTCTCCATACAGCAGTACTCTGCATGGATCTCTCAAAAATGCGTTTGACTCCGTGTGGTGGCCTGGTATCCTTGAAGCCTTGCGCAACATTAAATGCCCTCAGAACATATTCAAGCTAATGAATAGTTTCCTAACAAACAGAGCAACGATAATCATCAGCAACAACTGTATAGTAGAAAGAAGAATAACGAGGGGCTGTCCACAGGGCTCTTGTCTAAGTGCAGACCTGTGGAACATCACCTTCAATTATATCACCTCCTACAAGTGGCCGGACCATACAAAGCTCATCGCCTTTGCCGACGATGTGGCCTTTGTAACAAATGGGCATTCAAGAGACATACTAGAAAAGAATAGTAACGAGACTCTCTCCATATTCCATTCCCTCTGCGTCAATCAAAAACTAATAATTTCAGAGCCCAAATCACATATTATTTTATTTCCAAAACCGGGCAAATCGCTACAAAGGCTACCTTGCATTAAAATCAATAATAGAAGAATCAAGATCTCAAAAGAAATCAAATTTCTTGGATTGAAAATTGACCAAAAGTTTTCTTGGATCCCACACCTCATGGAAATTCGGAAGAAGACCCAAACTATTTCTAGAGCCCTCGCGAGGATGCAAGGCACAACACAACGTGGGGCCTCAAGTCGAGGATGCAAAACATTCTCTATAATACCGTGATCGAAAAAATAATCCTCTACGGGGGCATCAGCATGGACTCACCCTATGACAGTGAAAAAGAAAAGACTCTTAGCTTCGATCCAACGCCCCTTCCTCTTACAAATAGCAAAAGCATACAGAACTACCTCAACGGCAGCTCTCTGTGTATTAACAGGAATCCCACCCCTCCACCTGAAAGCAAAAGAAGATGCAGACTTAGCCACGTTATTCCACCTCAAGAAAAACATAGAGGTAGAAGATCAAAACCTGTGCCCCCTTGATTTTGAACAGCCACGAAATCCTTACCTAAGACACCCTGCAGTACATGCAAAACTCAGAATATCTACAAAAGAAGACACCCTCAGTGTACCTTCATTTCCAGTCGTGTACACAGATGGGTCAAAGTTAAACGAAGAAGTAGGATGCGCGTTCTTTGCACTCCTCTCAGAACAAGAAACAACAGAATGGAAAGGACACCTAAGGAACAACAACAGCGTTTTCCAAGCTGAGCTTTCAGCCATAAAACACGCTATTTCTGTGGTCTCATCAAAAGCATCTAACATATGTTACCATCTACAGTGATAGCCAAGCGGCAATTAAAGCTGTCGATGATGCAAGAAACAAATCATCAATAGTGCAAGATATCTACGATTTATTATCACAGCGCAAGAGAACATCTATAAAAATAAAGTGGGTAAAAGCGCATGCTGGACAAGCCCAAAATGAAAGGGCAGACGCGCTTGCTAAAAATGCAGCTCAAGACCCATCTCTACCTCCAATCAATGTCCCATTCCCTAAATCGTATGTGAAACATATGTTGAAAAAAATTACATTAAAAAAATGGCAAACTGAATGGGAAAATGTAGAAGTAGGTTGGGAAAATGCAGAAGTAGGTAGAAGGCTTTTCAACTTCTACAAGAAACCCACATATGATCCAATCTCTTATAACTTCTTCATCAACATATTCTTATCTGGACATGGTCCTTTCCCCACGTACTACTTTGCACGAAATTTGAGCGATTCAGACAAGTGCGTATGTGGGGAAAAGGGAGACCCAGAACACTATGTTTTCAAGTGCCAGCTCACAAAAGAGCTACACTGCAAAGGAAGGTCACAAATTACGCCTGAGTACATTAAATGCATGCTAACGATACCTCAATTACAACAAAAGGTTTCCTTGATTATGAAGAAACTTTTTGCATATAAAAGAGAAGACATATGTCAAGATGCTATCACATCTGTATAAATACCTCTTATTCTACAACTTGCAAAAATAATGCAAGATTTCAGAAATATTGCAAGTGTCTGAAACAGGCTAAATATGGTATAAATAGTTTTTATAAAATAGTTACATTAAGAATTTGGACTGTATTAATGTAATAATTAAATCATTAATTAAAAAATAATATAAATAATATACGACTCTATTAGATATATTAGTGTTAATGTAAGTATTATGTGATTTTCTAATGTATATTTTCTGTATTTATGATACATTAATTTACAAAAATAATAATGTAAGATTTCAGTGCTGATGCATTTGTGTGTAACAAGTTAAAAAAAAATGAAAGGAAATGTATTAATAAGAGAATTCGCCTTAGTAATTCAACTAAGTATGATAAAGTGTACAAAAAAAAAAAAAAAAAAAAAAAAAAAAAAA